TATTAATCATAAGCTTTTTAAGGATTTCCAAAAATTTTGAAAATTGTTTATGCAACTTTGTTGACGATGTCTCTGAGGATATGGAGGTGGTGGTTTTTCTAAGTCAATTTTTAGTGGAGAAATATGTCTCTTTAAACCATTCGGGGCATCCTCTTTAGGTTCTTCAATTTCTTCTCTCTCTACTTGAATCTTTTTTTGATCTCTACCTTCCAACTCTCTTCTGCTTCTAAGTTAAATGACTTTTACTTGCTCTTTGTTTTGATCTTTTGGATCTACCTCTGTTATACTAGAAAGTGCTCCTTGGGAACTATTACTTAATGAATTGGCTTTTTGGCCCAGTTGATTCTCAATATTTCTAATTGCAGCTCATTGACTTTGTAACTGATTTCACATTTGTAACACCACATTGTCTATAGATAATTTTTTTTCCTTAAATTGTGGATTACTATTAAAATCTGGAGTATAAGTAGGTCTATAATTATTATTACCTTGGTTATTCTAGTTTCCCAATGGGTTTACTAAGTTGTTCACCCATTACTGATTTTACCACCTGAATTATTATTATTCTAGTTAAAGTTAGGATGGTTTTTCCAACCTAGGTTACAATAGTTTGAATATGAGTTATTTGACTTATTATTTATGATATTCAAAGTTTCTAATGATGCTTGAGAATCTACCTTTTGACTTAATGAATTCACTTCAAAAATTAGTTGAAAAATTCATTCTAAATTGGTCTGACTTTCTTGAAATTGTAGCAACTTGATTTGCTAACATTGCAAAAACATCAGATTCATGAATATTGACTACTTTTTTAAGATTTAACTTCTCAGAAGGTCATTGAAAATTATTAATAGCCATGTCTTTAGCTAAAGCATAAGCATCATGAAACATCATGAAATGGTTTTGACATCCTGGTTTTGACATCCATGAACCACCAACATCGACATCGATAATAGATCTAAGAGATCCAACTAATCCATTATAAAAGTTTTGAATTATTAATCAATCTGGTATACGATGGTGTGGACACTTTCTCAGTAGTTCTATAAATCGTTCCCACGCTTCATAAATAGATTCACCTTCAAATTAAAAAAAAAGATGTAGTATCATTTCTAAGCTTCACATTTTTTGATGGTGAAAAATATTTATTTAGGAATTTCTGTGCTAAATTACCCCAAGTTCTGAAAGATCCAAGTGCTAACGAATTTAATCATATCTTAGCCTTATCCCTTAGTGAGAATGGAAAAAAATCTAAGTCTAATAGCATCATCTGAAACACCATCATATTTAAATGTAGCACACAATTCTAGAAAATTGGCAAAATGTAAATTTAGATCTTCATTTAGTGCTCCCTCAAACTGATTATTTGATACCATTTGAATAATAACATGTTTAAGTTCAAATGAATTAGCCACTATAATAAATTTTTGAATACTACAATGAAGTTCATCTACTGTAGGGTTTGCATAATCTCTTAAAGGTCTAAATTCTTGAATAATTTCAGCATTTTGATTATTTTGGTTTGCTATTTCTTGAATTTTTTTAACTTTTTCTATATTTTTGATTTTTTTATTTTTCTAATAATTCTTTCTAATTCATAATATTATGACACTCGTCCTTTAGAACACAAACTACACATACGTTTCTACCAAATAAAATAAGATCACACAAATAAGAACTTATATAAAAACAACACTAAAATATTCGTATAATAAATCTTAAAGTTTAAATAAAACTTTCTAAAAATAGAAATTTTATTTCGTAAAAATTACTTCAAAATTTTATTAAATTGTTTTTATTTCTCCCCGGGCAATGACGCCAAAAACTTGATCCCGATAATTTTTATATGTAAGGATTTATGAAGTTGACACCACTACTTGAAGATTTTAATCTCCGACAACGAAGCCAAAAACTTGATCTCGACTTTTACGACAATAGTCCAAAGTATGTGTGGTTATATTCTCAATTTTCTTTATTTATGTTTCTTTCTTTACAAGGGTGACAAAAACTTCATTCAGAAGCAAATAAGAGTGCAACTATTATATTTAAATATTGAGATACTGCGTCAGTATACGTATCGTTATCAAGTAGCAAAAGACTTTTTGATTAAGCCCCGAATATCAAACTCACCGGGAGAATTACAATTTCTTAAGAAGAAATTAGATAACACTCTGCTTTGAAAAATATTCTTACACAAACTAGATATGTTATAATAGGAATGAAAGTCTGATTCTTTTTGGTAATTTTTGATAATTGAAAATAAAGTAAACTACTAACTAAATTTAACTAGATTTTTGTAAGATGAAAGCAATATAAATAAAATATCTTTTTCCTTATTGGCTCCAATGGACAAGATTAGAAAGAGTTGCTTAGAATGGTTTGGCCACATTACTTGTTGACCATCAGATGATCCTGTCAGGAGAGTTGATGTTCTAAATTTGACTTATGTTAAGAAAGGTAAAGGTAGATCTAAAATGAGTTGGGCATGTTGTACACAAAATTATCTGAAGTTCTTAGAATTCAATAAAGTTGTGACATTCAATAAGATATAATGAATAAAAAAGATTCATGTATTACATAGTAAGACAAACGCTTGTTGTTGTATCAACCTGAAAACAGTCTTAAAGGTTAAGCTTGATTTTAGCAACTAGTTTAGTTTAATCATTTAGAATGTGGGTATTGTGCATTTGGGCTTAGGTCAAGGGTACCAATATATTTTGACTAAATTGATGAACATAGCAGGGTTAAAATGGGTTGAAGTGAACAAAATTTATATTTTTAATACCTTTCGCTATAATCACTTCCAAGAGCTTAACTAGATTTGGCTGATTGGTTTAATTAAAGCACAAAAGAAGTGGATGATCCATTTATTGGTAAATTTTGACTTGTTTAACCAAATATGGTTAATTACATGGTCAAATAAGTTTGTTCCAACACTCATTCTAAGAAAACTCCATGTCCAATTGATTTTTACTAATTTGGCTCATTTAGACCTTTCAAGACCATATGAATTTAATTTGATTGAATTTGTTCAATTAGAACTAGTTAACTTAACCAATAGATAATTTATTAATGAATTAATGACAATTGGTCACTCAAATCTTTTCATAATCTAGTTGATCAAAATACCCTATTTGATTTCCATAATCTATCAAATTGAAATGAAAGGGGAATCAATCCAATTTGATTTTGCGATTTTTATGTATAAGTACAATTAATTTCAATTCACATTTAGTCTAATTAGTGCAATGTATTGCAATTTTAATGGAGATTATGAGATGCAAGCTATTTAATACTTAATAATATGACTAAATTTTTTTCTTAAGAAATTACTTTTGATCTTATATAGTTCTAAGAAGAGTGTTTGTTTACTTTATAATAAAATAGACCCTTCACTCAATTATGAAATGATTGAATATCCATATAATTTTTTTTTAATTTATTTTAATTTTTTATGGCGTGGTATTGCAAAAATCTTGAATTAATTAGTCATATCTATTATGTTATTGTTGTTGGACTAAACTCCACTTGTGATAGTCGTTTAATTAAACATTATTGTGTTATAGCTATTAGATTGAACTTTATTAAGTTATAGATATTAGATTGCAATCTACTATAATATAATTACTAGATTGCACTATATTATTTAATAGCTATTTTGTACTATTGTATTACTTCATAATGTTCTATGTTATTGCTATTATAGTTACACTTTACTTTCTCAATCTTATAGTATGTTATAATAAAGCTTTTTAATTGAATTTTGTTATGAGGTAAATTATGTTCAAGTCTACTTTGAATCATAATTGAACATTCTTAGCATAAGCTTTGAAACTAATGTGAATTTGTGGGACATATATTCAAATCCTTTTAGGAACTTATTCAAATATTATTTAAGTCAATTTTAATCATGTTGGTTTTTAAAAAGTATGGGTAATCTAGCCTATGATAAAGTTTCTTCTTAAATAAATAAAATTATTTGACGCAATATTAAACTATTATAGTCAAATAAACTTGTAATTGAATTATTAATAACCCACTAACATCATTTTTTTAGGGCTTATAATTATAGGTTGGGCTGGGCTGGGATTGGCCCAAACTGGTGGTTGGGCATTTCTTCACCCATCGACACTCTATGCTTAACTTTCAACGACCTAAAAAAATTATATTAAGGAACTATTTTATTTGTTAAAAAGGTAATGTAGTGTAGAATGAATATAATACAGAAATAACGTATTATATCTGTTTTGGTTCAATATAAAATAAACTTATGATAATATATTTTTTGTTTCAAAATAAATTAAAAATAATATATTTTATATTATATCAGATATTATTGATGTGTGCCTGGGGCATCCATCAACGACGACCGGTTGCGGTGACGGGCGATAGTTGTGGTCGAGGGCAGTGTCACCTGTAGCAGGTGGTGGCGCCAGACAGTTCGGTGGGTGGCACCACCAACATGGGCATTGGCTATTGGTTGGCAGCGTCAAAAAATAGCAGTGACAAGCGCTAGAGGCAACTGGCGGTGGTGACGAGATATAGGTGGGGTTGTGGCAGATGCCAAAGACGCCAGTTGGAGGCGGGCGGCAGGCTACTGTGGGGGACGGTGGTGGGTAGTTAGTGGCGTTGAAAGGGTAACATCAATGGGCGAATCGATGGGCATTTAGAGGCGGCGGCTAGCGGAGAGCGGCTATCTGATAATATTTTACATTAATGAATTATATAAATCTCAAATTTAGTCCAATCAACCGAATTTTATATTGGGTCAAAATGAATTAAGATATAAACTTGAAATTGATTGGTACTATAAATTGTAGTTATAATTCTTCATATAAAAGACTTAATTTTTAAATTTCATGTAAAAAAATTATAATACAGTTTAAATTCTCCAATTCAAACAGCCCTTCAAATAAAATGACCTCCTTGAGCACAAGGAGGAGACAACCGAAAAAAATTACTGCACTTTACAAATTCTTTTAAACCAAACGGCCCTAGAGGTAACAGAATCGAAATAATCGACTGCACACAACTGTAGCACATGGCTCTCACCTTCTCACCCGCTCTTGGCGGCGTCTCTCTGATTTGCGGTACCTTTTCTCGTATTTATTCTACAGCTCCTTATCTGTGGCTCTACCATGGCTCCGCGCGCTGCATCTGATAGCCGTCGCCGTCTCCACCTCATTTAGCGTGTCCTATGCTCTTTTCATGCTGTAAAACCATTTGTCAATTATTTTCCTCTTATAGAGCTCGTAAGGAAATGGAAGGGAGTTCGGCCGGTCTGGTTTTAGGTCATTAATTGCAGATCTAATAGAACATCGGTGCATGCGAGGGTGCATCTTTCCCGCAGGTTGCCATCTTGGATTTGATATGGAGGAGAGTTTCAATTGGGGCGCCTGCCGCGCCATACTCGCCATTCTCCAGTGGTGGGGATTCAACGTCACTGTTATCATCATGAACAAGTGGATCTTCCAGGTACTTCTCATGAGCTGGTTCTTGCAGCAGATTTTAATCAATTATACTTGGTTTTTGCTTATCCGCATACCAAATCTCTTTTTTTAGGGTTTGTTATTTGTGTCGGCTCTCATACTTGATCGGTGACTTTTTTATTGGGGAATTACTTATTCCTGTTTGATTTCGTCATATCCTTTTACCGTTTTTGTTGTATGCATGTAGTGAAAAGGGTGTCTGTTGTTTCTGCTGCTATGTGAATTACTTATTTCAGATTTAGCTGGTTTCTTTTTTAACTGAAAAGAGGCTAATTTACGGCTCGGCAAGTGGAGAAAAAGGGAAACATTGGTAGGTGGGGGTGGAGATTGTCTGTATTTCTCAGGAAGGTCATATGCGGAATCAGGACACTTGTTTCAAAGCTTAACCATAGTTAAATGATTGATTTAGAGGTTGGTGGTTTGATATCAGATAAGATGAGGATAATTTTGAATGTACAGAGTAATGTGAGAAAACTGAATTCTTTTTAAAAGGGATAAAAAAAAATTCCGAAATGCAAGTTAGATTTTGATGTTACATCTTTGGTCAGTTTTACATTCCATTTTAACTGTAAATTCACTGCTTCTTGGTATGTTAATTTAACTTTTTGTGGCTGTTCTGTCATAAGTTAGCATGTTTCTATCTGTTGTTTCTCTTGATGTAGGAGTTTGAGATGTATTCTAGAAACGATTGTTTAAGAGAGTAGTTTGCATTTATCTTTCTAATAATATATCCACTTTGTGATTTATATAATGACCATAGGAGGGATTAGTCTCCTTTGTTACATTGAAGACTTGATTCTATGTGCATGAAAATTATTGAAAATGCTAGTCATAGTCATCATTTCTGCTCTATTGAGTCTCCTGCCCATTATTCGGTATTAAATAGCATATATATATTTGTTATCATTTAATGTAACTGTTCTTGAATCAAATTTGCTGTTTAAATTGGTTAGCATATTAATACAACAGTTGAAAATTGAAACATCAAAATTATTTGCACACACTTTGAAACTGGAATGATAACATCTATAACTAGGTAGATACTTATACCGTAGATTCAAGTCGATCAATAGTCACTTGAATTTCAATTGAGTTGAAATTGATTTTATGATTAATCAAATATGAGTAGCTTTAAACTAATTTGATGCGACTATGTATCAATTCGATAAACTACACTTATACATGTATTTGTATCACACACTCTCTTTCACAAAAGGACGCCATATATTGCTTAAAGGAAGTTTACAATTTCTTTACTTATTAGTCACTAATGGAAGGGTCCATTTTAGTTGCACCAAGCATTTTTGTAACAACCAAAATCTTGTCCCCTTCCACAAATCTTAAAACAATGCATTTGAAATAATGATTTTCTTTGCTTTGTATCAAAATGCACTTTATACCATGTGACCTTTATTGAACTATAGTTCTTACTAAATATATGAAGTAAATAATCTATTATGGACTAGTAAAGCTTCTGTCATTTCTATTATAATTAGATTGTTGTGGCTTGGCTAAATGCTAAGGGAAAAAGCAAGCTTTTCGGCACAAGTTTTTTAAGTTACTCTGCATTAGTACACCAAATTAGTGTGCTTACATGATTCCAGGCTAAATGAAACATCTATCCTAGTTCCTAGTCATCCTAAAACCAAATTTTCTCTACCCCTACAATTGTTTTAGCAATTTTAGGTTCGGAAAAAAAAATGTTTACCTACAAATCTGGAAGTGAAACAAGTACATCAATGAATTATAGTAGTCTTTTTAGAATCTGACTAGTTTTAAGGATCGCAAAATATAAAATATGCCACTAGTCTTTTTTCATTATCCACATTTTCTTATTGAAGTTTGCTATGACACCCAAGGAGGGGGATTGGGGGGTGAATTGGCTGTGCATAAAGTTATCTTAAATTAAAACTTTGTTAATTTAGGGTTTAAGGTAAAATTTATGTTGTGAATGAGTTGTAATTGCTAAAATATAATAAGCTCAAGTGCACAATAAAAAGTAAGAGATAAGAGATAAAGATCTTTACATGATTTGATCAATCACCTGACCTATATTCATATGTAGCAAACTCCTGGATAAGATTCTATACTAAACTTACTCTTCCCGAGTGAATCAAGAAACTCATGCAAATATTGCTCTTCATCAGTGAGCACATAACCTTCACAGCAGCACTCTTCACAGGTGAGCACAAAACTCTCACAAATAAGGTTCAACAAAAAGGGAAAAGAATAATGGATTCTCTTACAAAAGGATCACAATATTTTGCTCACACAATCTCTAATCAATGAATAAATTAACAAAGACAAATCTTGCTCATAATTTTTGTTTTTCCTTTTGATTTTTAATAATTAGAATTAATGATGATGACTTTTAGAAAATTTAAGCAAAATCATTTTCAAACATAATGCATAGATATGAATAAACAAATGATGATTAAATAAACATTAAATGTTAGATTTTTACTACTAAGATGAAACTTTTTTTTTATATAGAACAATCTTATTTGAAGGAATTAACTCATGCTCCCATGATTTGAGTAAACATTATACTTTTCAACTTCAACCAAGATCAGGAGAGTTTTTCAAAAGATTGGAAAAATTAGCCTTAAAGCCTTAGAGAATTTGATTGCCTTTCTTTGCATGGGCTAAGGTAAAAGTTAAGCTATGAAATTTCCTTGTGTTTCTCCTCAAGAAAATGAGTTTGCAAGTATGAAAGAAATGATGAAGAAAATTCGGCCAAATGAGCTGATGGAGACTTGAAAGTTTGGCCAAGACACAATTGCAAATGATTATTTGGTTTGGTAAAATTATTCATGAAGAAAGCTTTTGGAGAGAAATTAATTTATGATGTTTTTCAAGATTGGATCCTATTATTTATTTGGAAATAAAATATCCTAAGATTTGTTTAAGCGGTCGGCCCTAGCATTTCCAATTTGATCATGATTTTGTTTAAAAAATAATGAGTGCTTAATTTAAATCTAATTTGAATAATTTAAGGAATTTTTTTTTATAAAAGTATTGGAATTTTAAATTTAATAGTTATTAATTTAAGCAATAACCTAATTAGTTAAAAAAAGGAAGAAGAGCCCAACGGATTCCATAATTGGTTTAATTGAATTGAATTAATTAAAGTTATAGGAGAGTGGGAGGAATGATCAAAATTTTTCCATGTGGATATAATTGAGTTGATTTAAATTAATTCCTTTAATTAAATGAATGAGGGAATATTAGGAAACAAATTAAACTTTAAGGATATGAATCATTTTAAAATTTGAATTTTAATACATATATATAT